GAAATGTGAGGGAGAGGTTCATGTATTGCTGAGGGTTCCAGAATGATCAAAGTTCTTCAGAAAGCAGGTTAAGGATTTTAAATCATCCTTGTAAGACTGAAGAAACAAGTTCAAAGAGAAACAAAACCCAGTTTGGGCATATGTGGTGTAAGATTGTATTCAGGCTCTCTACCTCCAAAGCCATGGTCTGTCTGGAGAAAGCCAGAGTGTAACTACCCCAGCAGGGCACTGGGAAGCTTCAGCTGTGAAGGGAAATCAGAGCTGTGTAGCTGGCATGAGGAATGGCAGGTGCCACCAGATGATTAACCTGCAGCTCCATGCACAAGGCACAAAGGGCTGGCCCAGGGAAAGAGAAAGAACAGGGTCTAAGTTTGCACAGTGAAATGGATAATTTGGCATTTTAAAAGAAACATGGGATTTTAACCAATTCCTTACTAAATACTGAACTAGTTGCCCAAGATCTGCCACTGAAAGTCTTCAGAGCCTCAATGACAGTTCAGCAAAGCCTCTGAGGAGCAGCCTTGGCACAGACCCATTGGTGGGGCTGGCAGGGACCTGCACATGACACAACAGGAATGCTGCCTGTAACAGGCAGATGTCATTACGTGGCTTGAAAGGGGGGAAAAAAGTGTAAACAGGGAGAGGAAGGAGCTACTCCCTCAGGAGCAGGTGAGGTGGTGTTTAACCACCCCATGCAGTCACAGTGCCCTTGCCAACACTCAGAGCATAACCTGCAGGGCACTGCCTGCCAGCTCCCCCAGCACAAACTGCAACTCCCAGCACACTGGCAGGCTATAAAAGGAACAGAACACAGTTCACAATGTGGGTCACTCATTTTCACTAGCAAAAAAAAAAAAAAAAAAAAACCATATCTACCACGTCTCAGAACAATAATTTCAACTAACTGTTGTATTCTAACAATAAATTAGTATTGTTCTGCAAGTACATGCAAAACAAGGAATAAATTCTCAATTCTCATTATGTATATGGTTTTGTTGGGGTTTTTGTTTGTTTGTACCATGGCTTTGTTTGGTTTTAGTTATTTTTGTCTGTAGTGGGGTTTCTTTTCAGTCATACTGAGCCTACCCCATGGCTAAGCTCTATTTACATGACAGTAAAGCAATTTCCTTTTTGAACGGTGAAATTTACACTCCCAAAGATTAAAAATAATAAATCTGGTGGGTTTTTTGCATAAGATGGTATAAAGGTAATCTACAAAATGCAATCAGCAAAACTTACAGTCACTGGCTACATGGAACTGCAAACAACGCACAGAGTGAAAGTCTTTATGAACTTAGCTGGATTAATAAAACACATTTCCAGTTAACTCAGTGCTATCAGTGATTGCTTTATGATAGGAGTGCATCAGCCATGGAGGACCAGGGCTGACTATATTAAATATACATTTATACTCAGCCTGTCATTTTCACATAATTTAATTTTAATGAGTTCTGACAGAAATGGGGTAATATTTGCACTATTGCTTTGCTGCTGGGTGCTGTAATAGGTTGAATCTTGCTACACTTTTATTGGGGAGAGACCCATTTTGAAGAAAATGAAACCATTCTAGATTGATAAAGTGTTCTAATGAAGCTGATTATCACAGATAATTTATCCAAAATTGTCTTTGGTTGGAAGCATGTAGCCTTGACATTAGACCAGTGCTAATTAATTTGGGCAAACAGAGCTCTGGCCACACTGTCTGATCCTCACAGACTTCACCTGTACTTTTAAAGCAAAAAATAACTAGAACACCAAAACAAACAAAAAATGAAACCAAAAATACATCACAAACAGTTGAATTTTCCCCTTGTTCTCCCATTTTGAAACACCAATAAGCTGGTAAATGAGGAACATTCCCAGAACTGCCAGGTCACTACATGTTTGTCACACCTGCTTATTTCTGCATTTATCCTCACGTGTTTCCAAGTACAGAAGTTTGCCCATCACCTCTGTGTCATCCCTGTTATTTCTGAGCATCCAGACCCTGAGCAGGAATGCCCATCTCTCCAAGACATGACCTCCTATCAATTTAAATGCTAAAACAAGAAGGTGTCATTCAGGCTTTACTTTTTTAAAACACAGAAAAGACACTTGAATTTGAATCAGTTCTGGAGTACTTCTAACAGGTAAATTGAAGTCATTACTTCAGTTCACATGGTGTTCCAGCCCTAGGAGTTCTTTCTAGGGTTTTTTATTGTTTTAAACAACAAACTCAAATGTTTCCCTCCAGATATAAATCAGCCTATTACTTATTGTGCTCCCCAGGGAGTGAGCATGAAGAATGGATCACTGTTCTCTATAGGTGCCTGCCCTACTTTGCTTTCTTCCTTTTAAATTGCAGCAAACACAATCTCTCCCAGTGAGCCCATTTCTATGGCATTTCATCAAGGTCATTAAACCAGGGCCCCTCTGCTCCCACATTCAAAACAAAACACCAGCCTCACCCCCCTACAGAGCCTATTGAAATTACTTCCCAAAGCCTTTACCTGCATCCCAGAACCTGCCTGCTTCTCATGTAATGGGACAGCTCTCACCTTGGGACTTTTATTTGTGTTGCTACAGAAACATCCCATTTACTAGCATTTCTTCTGAAGCAACTTTAAAAGAGAAGCATTATGGAAAATCAACCAATATTTTTTCAATCCTTAACTCAGTATTGCACACTTGCCTAATGCAGCTTATATAGAAAAGCCCAAGTCAATACTATGGCATTTTGCCTTTTCAGCTGGGTACTCATTCTGGTCTGCTGTTAAAATACATCTTTTCCTCCAAAACCAATGAGAGGAAGATGGAATGATCACAATGATCAGCTCCAGCCATCTTCTGGAAACGAGCAAAGAAACTGCACAAGACAAAAACTACTCTAATGCTGGCAAGGTTGTCAATCTCTAACACATGCAACTGCCACGCTCACCTCTATAAATAATGACAACTGAAATTAGAGTTACCAGATAAACAACCTGGGAGCAGGGAAAAATTCAAGACCCTCAAAGCATTCATAGGATTTCAAAAAACCCTTAACTATGGACAGAGACCTTTGCAAGGGGGAAAAAGTATGAAGAAAACTCACCTGTCTGTGGCCTCAGGACCCTCTCCAGTCCAGCCAGACTGGGAACCACCCAGAACTCACCTGGTAACCTTCAGTTGTTCCCAGGCCTTTCTGATTAAGGAGACGAGCCTCTGTAGCTGATTACCAATTTAATGGCCCCAATTAATTCTTCCCTGGGCATCAGACCAGCCCAGCTGTTGCTGCTCAAGCTCCAATTCCCCAGCACTGATCCCTCCAAACTTCCTCCCTTTTCTCTGCTGTGTGCCCTCAACAGCAAAGCTGCTCTGGGAGCCTGCCCAGGGCCTTGGCTGTTGACCTTGCTCTTGTTTTTCAGCTGGGTGCTGGATGATGTTCTCCTGCAGGAGAGGTTTGGATTGGGCATTAGGGAGAAATTCATCACTGAGAGAGAGGGTGGTGAGGCCCTGGCACAGGCTGTGGATGTCCCACCCCTGCAGTGCTCAGGGCCAGGTTGGATGGAGCTTGGAGCAATCTTGTCTAGTGGAAGGTGTCCCTGCTCATGGCAAGGGGCTGGAAGGAGATGAGCTGTAAGGTCCCTTCCAACCCAAACCATTCTGTGATTCTGTGACTACAACCACCTCCTTCTTGCCTTTATTTTGGCAGACCTGCATTTTCCTTGGTTGGAAAAACCACAAGGATGCAAACCCACTGGGTTTTGGGACCTGAAACAGGCTTCAAGAAGACAAAAATCAGCCACTGCAATCCAACACAATTTTGTCATCACCAGAATATTCTAAGGCACTTCTGTTACTGATGCAGGGCAAAATGGTCACTTAGAGCCTGTAGTCCATTCAGTCACAAAGTGTAGCAAATAGATTTATTTACATTATTAAACCCAGTCTTCTGAAGGAGTAAGCCCAGCAATCAATGTCCTACCTTTCTGCAGTTAGGAACAAAAAAAGAAAAGCTCACTTTTCTAGGAAGACTTTAATGTTCTTTTCTTCAGCCCAGTGGCAATTTTGAAAAAGCAGTTTTTGGATCCACTTTCAACATATCTACAAAAACATCTTCTGGTCTGAGCTGATTTATTTTTCCCAGCACTCATAAATCTTTACACTGCATCAGCTGTCACAGCCTTGCTCAGGATCATTACCAAAAGCAACTGCCTGCAAAGCCTCACTGAAATCTATACCCTCAAACACAGCAAGAACTTTCCAATATATTTGGTAGTTTCCAGAATACATTTCTAGAACATCAATTTCCATGCAACTGTTGACCTTGCATGAGTATCCTCATCTTTGCAGCGTCAGCATTTAAAAGCTGCTGTGTACACTGAGCAAGTGTGCCTCAGTAATTTCATGTTCTAAACAGCAAAATAGTGAATAAATCACTGGAATTATCACAAAAAGCATTTCTCCTTTCAGAGTTTCATTTCTTCTTAAGAGAAACAGTAGAAGCACAACATGTTCTCGGTGAAAATATTTACAACCCAAGGATCTGGCTCAAATTTTGTTTGACTTCATCCAGGCATGTGTTGGAGAACAGTCTAAACTTTAGTAAATCTTAGAGGGATATGTTAATTTGACATAGTTACTTTGGGCAGCTCAACATTTACTGCCTGAGAGTGCTTTTGGCAAGGCATTTGCCATAGGTTTATTCCAGACACATTTTACCCTGGCAGAGCTGCCAGCCTGTTTTGCAGTGCCCCAGCACCACTCAGCAACAATCAGAACTCAGACCTACAACACAAGTAGTAAAGATAAGGAAGCCACAAATTATTTCTTGTACTTTTAATATCATAAGAACAAGCTATGAAAATTTCTAGTAATAATAATAATAATAAAAGAAAAAAAAGGTAGAGTAACCTGTAGGTTTGGGGTTTTTTTGGTGCTTTTTTTTTTTGTTTGTTTTTTTGTTTGGTTGTTTCTTTCAGTTTTGAAAATTAATCTTACAAGAGGTCTCAAACAATTTCAAAAACTTACAAAATATATTCAAGTGTGGAAAGTTATTTTACTGATAAAACAGCATTTCTTTATAATGTGCTTTTCTCCAGACAGGTTAAGGAAGCACAGGCATATCAGAACAAACCATTCATACCATCAGTACAAATCCCTTTTCTCCAACATAGGCATTTGAAATCAATTGAACTGTAGTATGCCAAACAAACAAAGCAACAGAAACGCAGTGACTGCTATAGACAATACAGGGAACATACAAAAAGATCTCTCAAGTCTTCAGTTGCTACAATTTCTTAGTGGAAGTGCTTAGCTCTTCAGCTGGCTTTGTTTCACTGACTGGTTGTACAGGAATAATTTGGTCTCGAACAAAAAAATGGAAGCATTAACTCCAGTTCAGTGTTTGGAGCACAAACATATTCATTTCATAGATGCCCACTGAAAATTTTGGGTATTGCAGTAGAGTCAGCAGTGGTCATACGAAACCAGCTGGATGGGTTTGTACAGAATTCAATGAAAGCATTTTTTGTGTTTTCTGCTAATTTCAGCATAGAATATTAACAAGCAGCACAGAGCTAGCAACAAAGAGATTTTTTTGTTTGTGCCATTAGTTACTCCATTGTAAAACCACCACTTGACTCTAATAGCTACAATCTCACTTGGTATAATAAATAAAAATATTTTGCAAACCAGCATTTTTAGTTATAAAGAGCAAGAACTAATTATAGTAGTACTGAATCACCCAAGTGATCCTCACTGAAGATGATGGAAATAGGCAGGAGTAACTGGCACCTCTCCCTGGCCTGAAGCAATTGTGTTCCAGTGAATCTCCCTAAAAAACCCCTGGGTATGCATACCAAGTCCTACTCTCCTACTCCATCTACAATCTTACTAAGTAGGAGTTTTAACTGGCTTTGTCCAGCTAGGCCAGTTAGTTATCTTCCTCAGTCATGTTCCAGGTAGTGGTGGGGTTTTTTGTTTGGTCAGTTTTTTTCAATATTAATTGCAAAAGTCAATTTTAAAAGCAGCTTGCATTTAAATAGCATGAAAAGAATTGAGAATAACCTCTGATTGATTGAAACATTGCCTCATATATTTTGAATCTCCCAGTCTGCCTAGAAAAAGCTTAAAAATTATTATACAAATTCAAACTTGGATAAAAATATCCAATAAGTATTTATTCACAGCACAAGCTTATCAGGTACTGATAAGTGTGTGTTCTGGTGACCGCCTTCAAAGTCCAACAAGCCAATGCCACAGCTGCACCCATTGCTGCATTTTAAAAGGCAAAACCTGTTTTGTGTATGCAAAGCAGATCTGTAACACCACTTACACAATCAACAGCAAGTTAAACAGCCAGTAGAATACACCACGCCAGTGTCACAGCTCAACAATGCTGTACCAGTTACAGGCATGCTCAGGTTATGTTTTCTTTTCAATCTTCTAGAGGAAATACAAATATATGAACATCACATATTCTCTTAAGAACAAACAGTAATTAAATAGAATGATCCTTTCTTCACTACATACAGAAATAACAATGTATTTACAATATTTACAGTTTTCAAAAATTCTGTTCTTCCACTATTCTGCAGGAATTCAAATTCTTCAGCCTGAAAAATAGGTACACAATAGTTCTGATCATAAACAGCCTCTGAACAGAGACAGGTTACTACTTCTAACTTACTGGTGTACAGACTAGAGGGCCTGAAAAGGAAGTAAAGCCACTCATTTCAGCTAAACATCCCATTGTTTGTGGGATTACATGGCAAACTGCAGATGCTTTATGTTTTGCCCAAGTGAGATATTGCTCATTTTCACAGTTTTCTCCATTTAAGTCACTGAACAAGTGAGCTGCAGTTGTAACTGCTTTCAGACTGCTGCTGTCATTGAAACAGGTTTTGATGAGAGTTACAAGCTTGCCTCCTGTACTTTCAGCTACAAGCAAGAGTGTGCTCAGGGATACAGCTACAGCTATACAGCTACATTTTGGGTTTGCTTTTTCTTTAACTCAGCTTAAAACAGAAACACACCAGTTTAAAACAAAGCTGCTGATACACAGATTTGCCCTGAAGTTCCAAAGGTGGATACTCTTAACTTACAGTCTTGAAAAGTGTTTCAAAGCAGCTGGAAGCTTTAAACTACAAATTTTAAGCAAAACACACAAAACCCCCAGAGAATCAATAATTAAAGGCAATTTTAAAAAAGAACATGAAAAAATACAGTAAAAATCTGCATGAGAGGAAGATAGTGTTAGTGGTGCAGAGCTGCTGTTCTCGATTGAAAATAATGCAAGCACCTGTTCTGAGTAACAGTACTGATGAGAAAAATTGAAGGCTTCACAGTAATGCACACTTTCAGTGCCACTTTTTAACTACAATGTTTCTTGAAAAGACAGTAAGGATTCAAAACTTGCAGACTTAATATGAGAAAAATAATCCAAACCTCAAAGCAACAGAATGCAGAACTAAAGCCAACAGAAAACAGGTATGTGGCCTATTTCTAGGCCATGGTAAGACTTCAAAAGAAAAATAATCAGTTTGAAGTCCTTCACGTGCATGTGAAGAGTTATTGGCACAGGAGCTCCGAATCATTCAGCATGCCCTACATATGAATCCATGGAATTAACAACCAAAGTCTGGGAAGCTCAGACTGAAAGGAAACCCAAAGATATATGGTCCTTTGGCATCAGAGAAGGTAAACATTACCTTTCCAATGGATTGAGAGATTACAAACTTAGGAGCTTTATTTGCTCCTTTCACTAACAGTAGAAACCATAGCAATCCTTCCCAGCCTCTCACAACTGGGAGTAGGGAGCTTTCAAAATTATATCTTCATGCCACAAGCATCTTCTTCAAAAGAGAGAAGATGATACTGTAAAAACAGATCTTTTCAAGTTGAAAAAAATTACGTTTGGTCAGAATTGTATATGAATAGGATTCTGTGTTCAAACAGAACGGTTTGAGCACTCAGCAGTGGCAGCACAGCTGCATGTAAGGCATTTTAGGAATGATTCGAATACAGCTCACTGCCTTCAGCACTTGACTAAATTCAACTAACACGAGCAACCTCTCACATTTTATTACTACAGCTGTGGTCACTGGAATCAACCCCGAAACATCTGCAGCCCGTCCGTAACATCAGATGCAACACAAAGAGCGCGCGCATTCCCTGTGGGAACAGCTGCCTGCACAGTGGAGTGGTGGTGCCAGAGGGGAGAGGTCACTGCCCATGCCAGCCCTGCTAACTGGCCCAGTCCTGGAAGCGGAAGCAGTCCCCGGCGATCTTCCACACGGTGTTGGTGGGGGTGGCCTGTGCTGTCAGCAGGAAGTTCTGATTGAAGTAGCGCTGCTTATCCCCATCAAATTTGACAGTCCCACTTGTCACCACGAGGACTGTTGTCTGGCCTTGAGTAGCTTGCTCTTCACAAGGAGGTATGAAATGATGAAGAAAACAACTCAAACAAAGACTAGCAGGTAAAGAGGCAGGAAATGCACACAGAAGCTTGGTTCAAGTGTGGTTACACTGCGCCAGGCTAACGGCTGGGTACAGGCAGGGAAGTGCAGCTCTGGTGCAGCGTTTCTACACAGACAGCGGTGCGTTCACCAACACGGCTCGGCAATGGCTTTGCCACTTTCATCTCCTGCTCTTCATTTTAGAGCACTGACAAACACCTCCATTTGTGCTTAGAGTGAGCTCTCATTACTTGAGATATACACACATAGAGATATTTAGCAACTTGCATATACTTTTCCCCCCAGTTATTAGAAATTATATCTTTTTCACAGCAGAGCAAAGCAAGTGTGTTTGACCACAGGCTTTTCCCTTACTTATATTCCCAAAATGTCCATTAGAAGCCATTTATTAACTTCTCAATTATGTAAGCCTTTCTTTAGGAGTTGTTAATCAGAAATCTAAAGAACTTAAAACCTATTCTAGATGTAAAGAAACCAAAGTACATACAGGTTAATAACCATTTGTTCACATGATACTGCAGGTCAGTACAAGAGGCTACCATAGGGGTCTCCCAAGCACAACATAACCTGGTAAGCCAGACTTTTTCCATACATGAAAATAGATCACATCTGAATATGATCTAAACAAAAAAAGTCCTTAAAATATTTTCCCAGACATGAAATAAGTGTATAATTGCTGCATCTCTTGATTTGTGCTTTTTTATTTAAGCACAACTTGACATTTCAACCCTTGGTATTTTCTCTAAACTTATTCCAAAGGAATTATTAAGCCCTATAATAATTGCTCACTTTCAATAGTTAAAAAGAATGAAAAATAACTAAATAAATTATAATACAACCTTACCGTGAACAGGCTGGCAGTCCAACACATTAACCTGGAATTCACTTGATGGCAACATTTCAAAAAACTTATTTAGTTCTTCTTGCCCAGACACTGCATTTCCATTCCAAACTAATGTTGCTTTGTCCAAATACAGTCTGGTTAAAGCCTGAGTGATTATGAAAATACACATTTAGGGAAAAGATGTAAACATATAATGGACAACATACAAAACTTACACTGTGAATTACCGATTTCTTCTGTTAGTCTGACAAATAAAATGCCTTCCTGAAACAGTAGCTCCTTTTAACAACCAAGTTAACAACTGCTCCTAACCAAGAATTAAAACTAACACATTTTCCTTTATGAGTAGCACAGTGACTCATATCTCAAATATTGATAACATCCCTTTAACAAAGGTAATGACAGAACTGAAGTGGTTGCTAACAAAAGGACAGTGCTACCTTTCCACAGTTAAGTTTATCACTGATTTTCTTTTTTTTTTTCTTCTGAGAGGGAAAGTGTCCACACAACACAGTTTAGGTCAGGAAATTATAATTTCAGGTTAAAAAAAAAAGTGAACAAGAGCAGGAACAGGTGAAACTTGAAAAGCACAGCAGCATACCAGAACTTCCCAAATGTTTCATAAGCTGTCAGAGCTGAGTAACTGCCCAACTCTCCTTCAAGGTGTTGACACACCCCTGTCCAACCCACTCATGTGTGCAGTAACATGGGACTGCTGGTACTTTCACACATTGAATTGCAACTACAGTACATTTAAAATTCCAAAGATTGGTCTCCAAGGCTCTCGTGGTGAATACATTTGTTACATGGTACCACATCAGTGAGCTCCAGGAAGACCTGCAGAGCCAAGTACAGCTGTACTGCTTCAGCTTCAGGCACTCAGAAAAACCCCAGAACCAAAAGTGGTAACTGCTAATGAAAGATATTTGGGGAAAGAAAAAAGCTGAGTCCTGTCCTCAAGGGAAAATAAAGCAAGTTCTGCTGGCCTGTACTGACCAAATCCTGCACCTGCAGGACACAGCTGCACACCAACTGAACGAGGGCCATGAGAAGTCCAAGGCACTGCTGAAGAGCCCCTTTTACAGCAAGGCAGCACAGGAGAACAAAATGCTCTGCAGGGAGCCTGAGGAGCAGCTGCCCTGCTCTGCTCTGCCATGGCCAGTGCAGCACATGGTCACCATGCTCAGGTGCTTTCTGTGCAATGACAGAAATGCAAACAAAAAGTGCCAGGACAGTTTTAATTATTGTCAAAACAGCTACATACCCTTCTCCTCTTGTCCATTGTCTCATAGTAAATGTTGACAAACTCATCTGCAGCTCTACAAGCTTGATCCACATAGGTTTTGAAATCCTGGAGGGAAGAAATCATATCAAATTTCTTTAGTTATGCAATCCAATGATTGATTCAATTTCTCCTGCAAGTCACTTTGACTTCAAATAACATTGAATTTATTCTAAGCTCCTTTTCTACTTGCAGAAGTACCAGCTGTTAGGCAGGTGACAGTTTCAGCATTAGTTTTGAATGCTGATATAGTTATTGTATTTAAATTGCAAATATTTACATTGGAAAATGGGCTACAGCTGGCTGCAGGTAGTGTGGCCACACAATTATTCAAGGAAAACAGTTGTTGCTGTGATGGCTGTTCTGAAATAAAGTTAAAAAACAAGATTTATTCAGGTACTTGAGAATTAGCAAGAAGCCCATCACACTGCCATCCCAGTCTCATTTTTAACATACCTTTATCTATAGAAATATAAAGTATAGTAAGAGAGAGAACACCAACTGTTGGTGTTTCCTTCTAGAAGGCTGTATTCCTTCTAGAAGGGATCAGTGCTGTATCCACAGGTCAAACCCAAACACTTCTCCTCACCCCTCATCATTTTCCTCACACCTCTCACTTGCATTCATCCCCAGGTAACAGCCTTTGTAGTCCCACCACTGTACTGTGATCTCACTGGGTTATTGGCTCAGTTTGTGCATCTGTTTGCCTCTCAATCTTTTACAGACCCTGAACTGGGACATCCTGGAGAGCAGATCCTGAATTTCCTGTCCATACATCCATAAGTCTGCATTTGATTCTCTTATAAATTGTTTGAAATGCTATTATTTATCACTGTCCTATTTCAGTATTATACTCTCAGTATCTGCAACTCGATCAGTGCTGAGCAATTTCACTGCTTGTATTTCCTTGGCTGCTTTTACTGAATATTCTCCAGAACCACCAGGAATCCCTCCAGTATTAACACAAGAAAACTCCAATCTGAAAAGAAGCCAAGGCCTATCAAATAATCCCTGTTTATCCAACAAAGCCAAGCATGTTTCTGTGCACTATCTTTTCTCTCCCCCTGCATGGACACAAACTGCTCTTCACCTCCCTACCGTGCCCCAGCTCCCAAACTCACAGGCCACTGCCAGTCCCAGGAGTGCCCAGAGAGCCTCGGGAGTGTCAGAGCTGTCCCCGGGAGCAGTGACTGCAGCTCTGGGCAGTGACAGCAGGGCCTGGGAGTCCCCAGCAGCTCCCCCTGCCCAGCCTGCCCCAAACCCTCCCCTGCAGCTCCCCACACACGCAGTGGCTGTGAGAGGGCACTGCAGGGGTGCCAGAGTCTAGAACCAGCTCTTGGGGTACCTGCAAGAGAAGTCTAACAGGAAATCAGCTCTGTCGGTTTTGCAAGTTTTACAGCCATAACCAACAAAGTTTTAAACTCTGTGAACGGTTCAGGCTGGAATAAACTTCTGGAGGTCATCTGGTCCTAGTCCCTTTTCAAAGCAGAGCTGACCCCAAAGGTTGATCACTTTCTAGGCTATATGTGACAGCTGAGTCCTCTGTCCTGTCTCCTGATACGTTTGGACATCTCCGAGCATGGAGACGGTCACACTTCCTTCGGGTTCCAACGTCCAAATACCTCACCCAGAAACCCTCCTTCCAAGCTTTTAACAGGAAAGCCATAATTGAAAAAACCAACCAACCAACCAGCCCCAAAATCAACTTCTCCAAGACTCTGGCGCCAACTCCAAGCAGTTTCCAACGCACCCGGCCGCTGCCGAGGGCCTCACCGAGCTCCTCTCTGCCCTGAGGCCCCTGTAGGAACACGTTGAGGCCGCCCCGCACGGGCCCCGCGCTGTCCCGGACCCCCGGGAGGCCGGAGCGGCCCCTGCCCGCAGCCCATGCTGAGGCGCTGCCGCCCTGCCCTGCCCGTTCCGTGTCTCACGGAGCCGGGACGCTCCCGGCGGCCTCCCCGCGCTCCCACGCCCGCCCTGTAGCCCGAAGCATCCTCCCGAGGCGGACACCCCGCGCTCCCCGGCCCCGGGCCGCGGTTCCCGGCGGTTCCCGGCCCGGCCCGGACTCACCACGGACGCGGCCATGGGGCGGCGAGGCGGGAGGGCGCCGGAAGTGCTCTGCTCCGCCGCTTCCGGCCGCGCGTCCCTCGCCCAAAGCGTTCCGCCGCGGGGCCCTGCCGAGCGTTCCGCCGAGCGAGCGTTCCCTCCACCATGGACATTCCCGAGCTTTCACTGCAGGAAATGGCCCGGAGAGCTGGAACCGGCAAAGGAATCGAAGTTGTAATCACCATTAAACAGCGAATAGTGTTATGTATTCCTCTATTTGTGTGAAGTAATTCTTAGAAATGACTGCTTTAGAACTTCAGTCAAATTTACTCAAAACACCTAAAAATATCTTTACTGAAGGATGTATCAAGATTACAGAAATGCGTTCAGCCATCTAGGTTAGGCCATATTTTCTTCTGTTTACAGCCATTGATTAAAATAAATTAACATTCATAACAAAGCACTGAATAATTTCAGAATCACAGACAAACTGCATAGATTTTATTGTCAATTATTTGATACTGGGCAAGGAATGCCCACTGAATGAAAATGGAATTCAGTCTCCAGTAAGGTGAAGAGCTCACGTTTTCCCACAGAACCCTCATGTGACAATGATGCACTTCTGCATTAAGGCCCATGCAGAAATGAACACAGGCTGCATCTCAGCCAGGCCATTTTTCAAATGAACCTTGCTCTGTGTCACAGCAAACTCTGACATTTGGGGCATGAGCTCAGTAATGAACTGTCTCCTAAAACAAGGGAAGCAACTGACACTGGGCAATTCCAGACAGACTCCGATTAATGGGATTCTTGTGAAACTGGATCATGACTCAGTGTTTGAGGGTTTTGCCTGAGCAAGAGCTCAATGAAAACTCAGAGATTTGATCTGTTGATTTTAATGAGAACTGGGAGTAGGTCTCATGTTTGGCTTACAGGATGGATAAAAAATTAATGCTAAAGCTTTTTAATCTTAAAGGATTTACTAAACTGCAGTGGACTTAAGAAAGCCTATTTTGGCCAGTTCCCAGCAAAAAAGGAGGACCTGGGCAGAACCTGTGCTTGTTAGAGTCCCATGGGGACTCTCAACTGTGGCCACTCCACCTCAAGTTTCTGCCATACCAGAACTGGAGGAATGCAATGACTCTTATGCTGGTAAATGCCTTCCTTGTTTTTTAAAGAAAAACAGGACTTGGTATATATTGTACTGGGAATTGTATCCAATGGGATATGCTGAGATAAGTACAAATAACTGCTCCATTTCACTCCATTCAAAGCAGTCCCAAGTGGAGATAAATTTTCAGAACAGGTCAGTTCAAAGTGTCACCACATTTGCTTGTTAAAGAAATTTTAAAATCCTCTTCCTTTCATTAGGTGATGCATTATTTGACTTCTTGAGAAAATCTGACCATGTGTATGTAAAACATATGGCCAGGTAAATATATTTGTGGGGTTTTTTTCCTCTAATATCTTCCCCATTTCAAAAAAGAGACATCCTTTGAGACTAGGCATTAAAGTAAATTTTCATTAATTTTCTTTTCTTAAATGAATAATTATGGAATCAGCTACAGATGGAGCACTAACTGCTCCACATGCTAGATTTAACAGAACTTCTATGCAGAGTTCACTTGGATGAGAGAGGCCTGCAGGGCTGGAACTGGAGTTTCTGTGCTCTCTGAAGTTGTCAGCTCAGCTCAGCTTGTAGCATATTCTGAGCTCAGTTTGGGTTGAGCTCAGGCCTGAATGCTGGGCCCTGGCAGGTAGCCCCCAACAATTAAAACTGCTTTGTGGGAGCTCTTAACATCAATCAAATGCTAAGTAATATTTCTCCAGGCCAAATGTACCCGTGACCTTTTAAGGAATCATTTTCCAGTGAAGAACAATTTACTTCCAGCTGGAAGTAAAGAGTTTTGTCATTTGCTTTTCCATTTACAAATGGGAAAGTTAGGAGAATCCTGTATGATTACTGAATACATGCTTGCAGATGTTTTGCTTCTATTCCTGAATACAGCAGATTATTCAGCCTTGTCTGAGCCTCTGGCCTGTGGTTCTGTGCTCAGCTGATCTGGCACAGCAGCTCTGCAGCAGGGAAAGCAGCACACCTTTCTTTTGGACTGTCCTGCTCTCTGTGCTACTACAGTGGTACCCAATGTTCCCTAAAACATCAGCAACCCAATAGCCAACTGGGAGCAAAAAGGGCAAAATCCCACTAACTCTAGTGGAAGCCAGACCTGGCCTTTGGTTTGTTTACTTTGGCTAAATAAGGAATAAACAAAATTTCTTCAAAATGTACCTTTAGCCTCTACATCAGTTCCACAGCCCCAGTGCTCAAGCTCCAGTTTTAGGAAATATCTTGGCCAAATGTCAAACAATTCCATCAGCTCTTTGAAGGCAAATATTAGACAGAGATTGCATCTGAAATAATTACCCAAGCACCATTCAAGTAACCTACTTGGCTAAAAGGTGATGCACAAATCAATAGTTTGCAACAGAGGCATGTGTTTCAGATCAAACTAATCAATAAGCATCAGAGTAATTTCAAATTACAGACAAATACAGACAAAGTTAAAATTCAAGCAGTTTAGATACCAAATGTATTGCAACTTAGAAGATCTCTTTTAGGCAGGATATTCCCCAGGTAGAATTTCAACATATCATTGATTTTATTGAACTATTTTGTCTCTTTTCTAAAATAAAACCAATTACTGTCATTTTGGGAGAACTCACAAAACAGGTGCAAGTTCCCCTGTTGATCTTTGGCCAGCTAATAACTGAAACTGTGCACTGGATTTCCCTTGAGCACAGCAATTGGAATAGACCTGACTATTGGGAATTTTTCTGTTTGCTTTTCACAACCACTTTTCTCCTCCTTTACCTTCTAATCTTGTACATATGTAATGAGATGGAACAACAGGAGACCCAGCTCAGAGCCCAGAGGATAAATTTTAGCATCAGAGGGCTTGCTGCTATTTTCTACCTACCATAAGAAAAGTTTCTTGTTCACAAGCCTTTTAGCAGGAAGGGCTGTCAGGGAATGAAAAGGAGCTGTACAAAATGAGCTGATTCTCATCTCTCTTTTGCTTTACACTATGAACATACCTCCAATCAAATTTACTGAACAAAGTCCTAGCATTTCCAGGGATTGTCTTGGTTCTATGGAATCATTGGCACATTTCTGGCCTGTGGCTGCAATAACCACATTTGCTCTCTGGCAGCATTAATAACTCAATTTCTACAATTTTTGGGCAGAAGATAAACCTTTTCCAGACAGATAATCCCAGTATATTACACACATGTTTCTTTGCATGTGCATTCTTTACATTTGAAGGCACCCCCCACACTGTGCTTCCTCTGAGGTTGTCAGAGTAGATGTGGGGCAGCCATGGGGATCCCAGAGCTCCCACATGTCCCCAAAGGATGCCTGCAGTGACAAAACTGTGAGTCTGCCATTTTTGCCAGTAAAGACTTGCATGGAGGGCACCACTGCCTCTTCTTTTTCCTGAATATTCTCAGCCCTCAGCTAGATCAAAAGTAAAATATAAGATCTGATTGTGAACACTCTCATTTCTCCAATAATTTTAAGGAATATCCATTAAAGTAGTGATGTTTGGTTCCAAAGATGAAAAGAAAGGCTGAAGAGCAACCCCAGACACAAGTTTCCTTTTTACCTTTACTCTTTTACAGGTTCTATTTATTTACAGAGACCCAAAGCTAGGTCAGTGTCTAATCTCACATGCCTAATCTATTTTTCTTTGACAAGTTACAGCCTTTGGAATGGATTGTTTATAATGGTCCTGCAGCATTTGTACTGCATTTACCAAACACTCAGTGGGATGAACTCCCATTCCCACTGCAGTTATTAATAACAAACTCTGCATTGCTGCAGTGTAAGTACTGACACACCAAAGAACACTAAATGTGATTAGTAACTCCCATGATTGCACTAGTCTGCCAAGGAGGAATATATTTAAAAACCACAGTAGTAAGTAGTGGGGGAGCACAGGCTTTGAGTCATTTACAAGGATCTTTTTGATTTTATCAGCAAACAGACAAGTAAGGTAAATACTCAGAAAAAACCAAGCCCTGTGACAGTTTAAAAATTGTTTTTCTGCATTCCTTCAGAGTTTACATCATAGCAAGAAAAGGGATTATCATCTTTAATAATATTATTTCTTCATGTTGCTTTGCTCTAGTGAAGAGGTTTAAGCATACAAAGATTCTTTTCAGAAAGAAGACCAAACACAAGAGATTTCCTAGATGACCTTTGGATTTATATTTCAAGATTATTTTGTAGGGATAATGAGAGATATTATTTCCTTTTAGGCACTAAAACAAATCAGGTGAGAGGAGGACTCAGGGTACTGGTAAAAGGCTGCAGAATCTCACACATTTAAACCTTCAGCCAAATCCATCTAACTTATTTAGGGACCTAGGTGGCATTTATATGCATCATTTTTCAGTTCCCAGAAAGTAGACAATGTCCTCTGAAAGGTTCAGACATTGTTTCAGACATTGGGCACAGTGTTGTAATCAGGAAAATTAGAATACAGACAAGCTATCTTTAGGTTAAATGCTCTATTTGCTTCTGTACCACTTCAGTATTTCTAAAGAACAAAGTACAGGAAATGTAAGAATCTCCTGTAATGGTGGTTAAAAAATCAAGGTGAATGTGCTCACATAATTATAGCAGGCTGTGTTCCTAAATTCTTGTCAAGATTCACTATAAGTCCTCTCCTTATTATTTACATTTCAACACATTAATACACCACTGTGCAAAAAATTGTTTCTTAAATAGTGAGAGAAGAACATCCAAGAAATTTGCTTAAATGCCATCAGGACAGGCAGGAATAAACCAACATGCCAATGCTCTGTTGATTTATTCCAGAGGAATGCACCTGGACCCACCAGCTCTCACACATATTCCAGCTGGAGAAACAGCTGTTTGCTCAATAGCTGTCATATTGTCTGACACAAACAATTACTTGTTCAATTTGTCATCAGGGATTCTCTTTGGGTTTTGAAATACTTGAAAATGTCACATTTTGTTTCTGTCCTTAGGTTTGGAGCGTTTTTTCCTACATAATGTGCGGGGTTCCCCTGCAGCTCTGAGTAACTCCAGTCAGAATTACAGGGCAAAAAAGGTCAAGTTCAAGGTGGTTCACTGTGAGCTAAGGATGCCTAAGGAAGGGGAGGTGGAAAGTAATGTTTAGTAGGTCAAATGTGGCAGAGATAGTGGAAGGATCCTGTCAAATTGCCAGGCTAAGAACATGAGACAATAAATACATTTTATATAAACTATGGGGGAGAAGAGAGAGGGAAATTCCAGCTCATGGAAACTGTGGATGATTACAACAGTCAGGGCTGGGGAGTGACCTCAGGGAGTCATAGCTGTGGGGAAAGAACAAACATGTTTATTACAAGTGTTAGTAGGGAATGTTTTGCATGAAGCAGTGAAATATGAATACTCAATGAATGAAGCAGCATGTTATTAATGCTGAGCAACTGGGAGGACTGTGGTAAAGAAGATAATCAACAGGAAATGAACCAACATTATGGGATAGGAAAGTGCTTAGAAATGGAGAGGTAGACCTGAAAAACATTTGAGCACAGGCAAGCTTTGAAACTGAGGATTGATGAAATCACCACACAAAAATGTGTAAGAAGAAAATGTGGGAATTGAAGACAGCCATACAATACCTCTGAAGAGCTGAGGGAACAGAACTGTACCCATCCAAACAGATGTTTTATGAACTGCAGGAGATAAGCACCAGGAGTGAAGGTAATGAAAACAGTAGATCAAGTTGCAGGCTGAAAAAATTGGTTTGAAAGAATATTACAGTGGGTAATAATAGAGTCAGTAAAGTGCATAATGGAAGGGAAATCTAGTTAGCAGAGATAGAACTTGCCAGACAATTATCCATCTAATTTCTTCTTCACAAGTACTGTTTGTGGCACAGGAGAAACTGGCATGAATGACAATACTCAGCATGTTAAACTGCTCACAACATACAACTAATCAAGAGACAGGAAAACTTTCTTCAAAAACCTTTTCCCTGGCAGCATGCACTATTAGAAATGTGTGTCTAATGAAACTCTGCACAAGCAGGTCCTTGAGAATGACCTGTTTTCCTCTCAGCTGTGTGCATACTGGGCTTGCTAATGCCTCATAACAGATTTGCTTCCTTTTTTGACCTAAACTGAAGAATTATGAATACCATTAATACCATATAGTCAACGTTTTAAATGGTATTTTTTGAATGAACAATGTGGACTTATCATAAGAAATCACCCAAAATGTTACTCCTCCAAAACTGAGATTTAATTAAACATCACTAAGCTCAAGGATTTTTAAAGGGGAAACTGTGGTGAGAATGAACACAGTGGAAGACCAACAGCAGATAATCTGTCTCCATCATTCAAGTCAAGGAGGATAAGTTTTCTGCTGAACTTACTGAACCTAAATTAACGGAATATAGAAAAGACAGAGAGATTGAAGGACAAACACATTTTCTGTGAGGAGAGGCTGAGAGAGTTGGGATTGTTAAGTCCGGAGAAAAAAAAGGCTGGGTTGCCTTCCAGTAAAGAGGCCTTGAAGAGGGCTTGTAAGAGCGATGGGGACAGGCTTTTATGGGGGCCTGTTGTGACAGGAGCGGGGGAAGGGTTCTAAGCTGGGTTTTAAACGAACAGAGGCAGGTTTCGGGCAGAGGTTTGGGGCTGCCCACAGCAGCGGCTCCGGGGCCGTTCCCCTCCTCGCCTACAGGCGGCGCCCGCGCAGCGCCCGCGGCACCTGCGCCGCGCTGACGTCACGGCCCGGGCACGCTCCGGCGCGGCTGTGACGTCACGGCGGAGCGGCCGTCAATGGCCGGGAGCGGGACGGGCACGGCGTGTGACAGTGTCACAGCACAGCCCGGGGACACCGCGTGTGACAGTGTCACAGCACAGCCCGGGCACAGCGGGGACACGGCCCGGGGACACCGCGTGTGACAATGTCACAGCACTGCCCGGGGATACCGCGTGTGACAGTGTCACAGCACAGCCCAGGGCACGGCGTGTGACAGTGTCACAGCACAGCCCGGGGACACCGCGTGTGACAGTGTCACAGCACAGCCCGGGGATACCGCGTGTGACAGTGTCACAGCACTGCCCGGGGATACCGCGTGTGACAGTGGCACAGCGGGGACACGGCCCGGGGACACCGCGTGTGACAGTGTCACAGCACAGCCCGGGCACAGCGGGGACACGGCCCGGGGACACCGCGTGTGACAGTGTCACAGCACACCCCGGGGATACCGCGTGTGACAGTGTCACAGCACAGCCCGGGACACCGCGTGTGACAGTGTCACAGCGCAGCCCGGGGACTTTGCACCGCTGCAGGGACTTTGCTCTCCGGAGCGTGCAATGACAAACCGCACGATGTGTCTGTCCTCCTGTAGGCACAACCACGGACACAAGTGTCGCTCTCAGCTCCCTGGGCACTCGTGGTCACACCGATGGGACAGTGAATTTCTTGTCCCAGAACTCCCAAAACTTAGAGCACCTTTGTTCACCTTAGATGGGGACCTTTCATATTTTCAAAGCTTGTAAAGCCTTTCAGCTGCTCTTGGGACACTGGTAGGAGTTTAAAAGCTTCACCATAACAAAATTTACCTGAAGTTGTTCTTGCAAACTCCTTTTACCCCTGGCAACCACCAGCTGGGAAAATCCTCAGGCTTCCCAACACCAACTGCGTCCCTCTGCAAAATTAGTAACAGTAATTAACAGTAACATAAATAATTGCATTCCAAGCACAGCACTCTATAAATGGGAGAGCAAAAGAACCAGTAGGCTCATGGAGTCCAGGTGGGGTGCCTGTTGCAGTCTGGTAGATCTTTGATGAAATGATGCTGTGAACAATCAAACATTCCTCTGGAAGGAGAAAGAAGTGATGTTTGTGTCTTTAATGAAGATTCTGCTTGTTATTCAAACCATTATTGAGATAGATAGGGCAAAAGGAGAAGGAAGTATATTTAGTATTTAAGATCTGACAACACCATAGAATATTTTCCCTTTTTGTAACTCAGCAGATTGCAGAAAATGTTAGATGTTTTCAAGGACATTATGAGAGAATATTCTGGAAAATAATTTTATTTTTCTTTAAGTCCCTACAAGGCCACACAGACCTATAGCTTTTTAGTATATTAGTCAGAGTTTAACATCCTAGCCATGAAACCAGAAGAATATTAGTATTACTGAAGTTTGAAAATCTCTTCAAATACAGACAGTACCTTTGAGTGTCTCACAAATATCACTGAAGCAAAAGTATAGGAAAACATTGGAAAAGTGAATTATTTTTCTATTCCCAGATATTTGGAATAAGGTTATGTGGCACTTAAGTACAGAATAAACACTTCCAAGTTATTTTTCAGTTTCAAGCAGGAAGACAAGAAGGTACAATGAGAGTGATGGAACACACCTTAGTACATTCAACTATCAAAAAGGAACAAATTATGATAATTTAAAGTGGACTCTGGAGTATGCAACAGCCTGATAATAGAGACAGGGAATTTTCTTATTATCTGTGCTAGATGCCCCAAACAATGAGGGCTGCTGAGAACCCAGGAAATTTTGTCATTGATCGGTGAAGCTGTCTGTGCACATTGAGTACGAAGTTGGATTTCTGCTCTCACAGAGAGTTCTGCACAGAGCACGTCTGCTCCCAGCAGCTTTGCTCAGGTTCCAGGGCCAGTCCCTTGCCAGGAGGAGCCCCAGAGTTATTGTGCACCAGAGCAGCACTCACTGGTGCCCTGCACTGGTGTGCCCAGCACTGCTCTGGATCCAGCCAGGACGCCCAGGATTGGTGTCAGTTGATCTCTGCCTGATCTCATTTGAGAAAGGAGACAGCAATGGGCATGAGGGACTCGCTCTAATTTTTATTTTTAGGCAGATCTTCACAACCTTGAACAACTATCAAGGAAAAGAAGCCAGTGCTGTAAACAAACTCTGAACTAGAAATTCTAACACAATTAAAATTCAGACAGTAAGGTCAGGAGATTGCAAAGGGTCTGTGAAGTGAAATGCACAGGGGTTCCTCAATTCCATTTCTGTGGTGTCAGAGTGTGTCCCCTCTATCCATCCACCTGCCTGTGGGTACCATCTGCCTCCTATGAAAAACTTGAGTGTCACTTGCTTTACAAGCCTGACTTTTAAGACTGTACATATTCAGGTCAGAAATATTAAAACAGGCATGAGAAATTGTATCTTCATTTACATCCCAGTGAAGATTTGAACTATAATGAAAACATGGCCTTGAATAATTGGTTTACATTGAGGAACGTTTAGAGGATAAGATTCTAGAAAGAGAAATGTTTTGTGGATTTTCTCAAGTTACTTTCAACATTTTCTTAAGCAGCTTGTTAGGATTCTTTACAGCAATGAGATGCTTGTATGAAATGGTAATAAACTTTTAGAAGTGTGACATGGACTAGATTAGCTTATAGATAAATTTATGTGAATTTTAAAGCAACAGTTAGTTGTACACTTAGTGTACCGGTGTGGATGGATTAGTAGTAAAACTTAAGTGATTAAGGATTTTAGGCTTAGAGTAGGTGCATGTAATGTCTACTCATTTGAGAATGGAAGTTTATAGACAAATGGTAATTTATTAACTTGAACAATATTTTTGTCTTCCTGCATAATGTTTTAGGGTACAGACATAACAGTCAAGGTCTGAACAGGCACTACATGGGCAATAAGTTCTGTTTATTAACTCCAAACCTTTCACACTAATCCTCAGCAGACATGTGAAGAAATCAGCAACAATGGTTTCAGCACAGTAGTTCAATTACTCTAAAAAGTAGACATTTACTGAGGGAGAATCACAGACAGGAGTACAGAATATTGTCATACTGTGGGGCAGAATGCTCAGAGGGAGGATATCCCATTGCAAAGGGAAATGGTGAGGTAATGGTAACATCATTTTATAAACTGCATACACATCCATGACAACTTAAAGCTTAGTGTACTGGAATGTCTTGATATAACAGAAAAAGAATTCATCTGACCAGATAACAGGCACAGAACATTGTTAATGACAATGCCAGCAGTAAAACCAAGAGGAATTTTGTAGGCTTACATTGACCTGTTGCAGACCAACATTCCTGGTGTGTGTGTCAAAGTTATTTATTTTTTGCTTCCACAAAATGTTAGTCTAAGAAAATATAACAAAATCTCAGATGAATCTACCATATGCTGTTGTCTACTAGAAATGAAGGCCCCTGAAAAATGGGCCCAAATTATGCTGCACATTCTCTGAGGAAATACATTGGAAGTTCCTGAATGTACATAAAAAGTAGTGCAATACAAATCAAAATAGTAACAGTGTCCTGAGCACTCTGCTTTTGTGCTGGCAAAACATCAGTCTGTACTTCCTGAGAGCAACACCCAGCAAATTCGTGTGACCAGGGAAAACAGGGGTGTGGTCAAACCACGTCTAGTACGAAATGCTGATGTTGACAACCACCCAGTTTGGTATTTTGTTATTTTCAGTGTGGGAAGTGAAGGCTCCTGTGTCAGCATCATGTCCAGAAGTTCTGCTAAAAACACCAACTACCATTTAGCAGTTCCTGACAACTGCTTGGGGCTGTAAGAGATCCCAGCAAGGTCACACCTGGCAGACCCCAGCAGCTTCAGCGAGTGCTGAGCACCTCAGCCAGGCTGGAATGGAGTTCCTGATGTCACACAATTAATGATGTTGCCACTGATTCCCACAGGAGCCTGTCAGGGCTCAAGATATCCTACAATTT